AATGGAGGATTTTTCCCGCTTTGGAAACCAACGGCTGGCCAAATCCCGAACCACTCTTTCCCCGAGACGCTTTTTTCGGCGGAAGGACCAATGCCATCCAACTGATGGCCGTGCCTAAAGAGAACGAAGAAATCCGATACTTGGACGTGGTATCCTTGTATCCATACATTTGCAAATATGGTCGGTTCCCTATCAACGAACCCGAGATCGTCGTTTCACCAGATCAACAGAACTGGCAACAGTACGAGGGATTGATACAATGTAAAGTCGTACCACCGAGACGACTCTACCACCCCGTTCTGCCTTTCAGATGGAACAACAAAACCACGTTTCCACTGTGTCGTTCCTGTATTATGGAGAATATGCAGGAGTCTGAGATTAGCGAATACGTGCCTTGTGCCCATTCCGACGACGAAAGAGCCTTGGTCGGCACCTACGTGTCCCTCGAACTCAAGAAAGCCGCTTCTCTGGGATATAAAGTCATTCAAGTCTTCGAAGTGTGGCATTGGGCCGAAGAAAAATGGAGTCAGTACGACACTCAGACCAAAACGGGAGGGTTGTTCACGGGATACATTGACCACTACTTAAAAACTAAAATGGAAAGTAGTGGTTACCCTTCGGAATGTCGCACTGACCAAGAAAAAGCCCAATTTATTGCAGACGTCTACCAAAAAGAAGGCATTAGTCTCGATCCTGCTAAAGTGATCTACAACAACGGAATGCGAAGTTGCAGTAAGCTAAAGCTCAACATTTTATGGGGTAAATTTGGTCAACGGGACAATTTCAGTCAAACGGAATACATTACCGAACCAGAGAGATATTTTGATCTTCTGACGGATGTCACGCAATCCATTAAAGACGTACAATTGGTCAACGACAACATGGTGATGGTGGAACGATTGAAATTGGAAGAACACGTACAGCCTTCTCAAATCACCAATGTCGTCATTGCCGCTTTCGTCACGGCGCAGGCTCGCCTCAAGCTTTATTCCGTCTTGGAACCTTTGGCAGAGCGTGTCTGCTATTTCGACACCGATAGCGTCATCTACGTGCACCATCCAGACCAGTGGAATCCGCCGCGAGGCAACAGCTTAGGGGAATGGAAAGACGAGTTGGAGGAGAATGTGACCATCACCGAATTCGTCAGCGGTGGAGCCAAAAACTATGCGTATAAATTGTCCAATGGTCAAACCGTGTGCAAGGTGCGAGGGTTTACGTTGAATTACCGAGGTTCCAAAGACTTAAATTTCGACTCGGTGAAAGGTATGGTTGGTAACGTTCAACAAAATATTCCTTTGGTCGTCACCAATCCTTTCAAGATTACCAGGACACGTGACCGTCGCCTTTGCACGCGGTCGGAAGACAAACAGTATAAAGTGATTTATACGAAGAGATTCATTCACTTCAACGACAAAAATGAACCAACCAATACCTACCCTTACGGCTTTTGAAGAAAAAGTGAGAGAAAGGTGGTTGAGGCACAGAGTGGACTAGGATTATCTGCCCCATATAGAAGACCAACAGAAAGAGCAATGCATTGGCTGCCTCTACGACTAAGTTGACGTATTGGCTACGTTATATTGAACAATATACTGAAGATAAGATACAGCCTATCCAACACGTTGTCGCATATGATGCAGATGGATATGGTGTCAATTATTCCGATGAAACGGTTGTTTGTAAAGCTGCAGGTAAACCGTATATTCTCATGGTACCTAATAAAAAGTATTCTGTATACTTGAAACCTGTCTTCACTGATACTGCATACGTCACAGCCAACGCTGGTCAATGGATTAATTATGGCCAAAGAAGAAACCGCTGGATGGAAATGACCAAACAGACTGATAGTTTAATCAGTCACTCTCAAATTGTTGGCAATTGTGG